CGCCCCAGCGAGTGAGGGAGCTGTGTGGCTTTGCCGGCGGCCTCCCCTATCCCTCCTGCATGCCCGCCAGTTGTGCCCCATCAACCATATGGCTGGCGGGCATGCAGCTTGCCTCCCAAGCCTCCGTGGGAGGAAAGCGATCCTTGCAGAGGCTTAAGATAAAAGCTGCGCCCCGCCAACTATATGGCTGGTGGGTGTACAGCTTCCTTCCCAACCCCAACCCCCCGGGAGGAGAGTGATCCCCACAGAGGCTTGGGGAAAGGTCAACAACTCTGGGAAATGGGGATTGGGCGCCGGAGGGATCTTTGCAGCACGGCACCGGATATGCTTAAGATGGCCCTGTCAGCTATATAAAATGAGATAAGTAGCCACCAGGGAGAGAACCTTTTCAGTTGTGGCACCCCTCTTACACAGCCTCATTCCAAGGAAGGATCACCTGGCACTATCTTTTTCATTGCCAGATAAAGTCAGACCTTTCGATTTTTATTTTTAAATAATATTTTTATTGATTTTTTTTTAAAAAATAATGTATATACTTCAATACATAATAAATATGACTTTTCCCAACTTCCCACCCCATTTTCCATGATGTTTTAATTTCTCCCCCTCTGCTGCACAATACCTTCTATTGCTTATACCAACACATCAATACTGTATTCTCTAGTTCCTTCTGTTGCTCATATTTCATGTACATATAATTTTTATTCAATTTTCTGATTTACATTTCAAAATATTCATTTAAGCAACCTTAAATCAATGACTTCCCTTCTTCTCTTTCTATGGTTCATTTTGCATACCATACATCCCTGCATATTTTACGTGAGCAAAACCATCCATTATTACATCGATCAAAACTTATTTTCACTGTTGAATTTATCTTTATGCTACCATTTTAAAATTAACACAATTTTCACCCATATATTCAGTAAACATTTTTCAGCGTACATTCTTCTTGTTCTCTTATTCTATATGTTAAATCTGGAAGCTGTGCATATTCCATCAGTTTAAGTTGCCTTTCTATTTTAGTTGGGACCTTGCTCATTTTCCATTTTGGGGCTAACAAAACACAGTCCTCAGTAGCAGCATACATAGTGTGGTTTTTTTGACACCTGGGAATTTCCTTCTGAATTATCCCCAACAAAAAGGATTCTGTCTTTTTTGGGGGGGAAGGTACTTTTAAACATTTTTTCCCAATTCATTATATATCATTTTCCAATACTCTTTTACCCTTTTACAAGCCCACCACCTATGATAAAACATTCCTTCAACCTCATTACATCTCCAGCACCTATCTGATTCTGACTTATACATTTTAGCAAGTCTACTCGGAGTTAAACACCATCTATAAATGATTTATAGCTGTTGCTCATATTTCCAATCTTGCTCACGAGTTCATCAAACTATGATATTTCCTTAAATAGTCCGAAACGGCTTCCATTCTTCCACAAAGCAATCATCGTCAGGCCTTCTAAACAACTTACACAGTCTGAGTCTCTCAATTTTAAATATGTGTTTTGTTTTATCTTTGGGAAGTTGTGTCCTCTGTGTTTGGCGTATTTCATTAAATGTGATTCATTTTGTTGTTTTGTTGTTTATTTATGTTTGTTTTTAATCATTATGTGTTGTCAGCTGCCCAGGGGAACTTTGTGTTATGGAGCAGCATACAAATTCTGGAAATGAATGCATAAAACTAAAATTATGCCACTACAAACAGGAGTCAGGACGAGAGTGAGAAACAAGGCTTCCTGATCTAACGTTAGCATCTTCTGCTCAGAACGTATGAAATAAAAACCCCACCATTGACAAAGAGCGTCAATACTAACAGCAGGAAGTGGACAAACATGTCACTTCTGTTAAAGCCTGTCTCTGAAACTTAAAATCCATCAAAGAGGGTAGAAAACCTGAGTAGGTCATTTCGGCTCAGCCCTAGAGTCTATCAGGGACTGGGCAGAGGAGGAATGGTGGAGACCGCATCCCCAGCCTGACCCTTCCAGAGGAGAAGAAGACAGTTCCAAATTACAGCAGGGGTTTGAGGGAGGTCACAGCTCAGAGGAAGAGGGGGGGAAGTTGGGAAATAATGGGAGAGGAGGAGGAGGAGGCAGAGCTGGAGCAGCTGGCTGATACATTATCACTAGAAAGCATTCCAGACCCACCATCTCCCAGAACCTGGCTAGCCTTAAAAGTAGGACAGCAAAGGGCTTGGAGACAGATGGCCCTAAGTGGTAGCCATGGTGTGTGTGTGCTGTTGACGAATGAGGAAGTGGGAGAGAAGGCAGGTGGAGATTTACTTGGGACAACATCATTATTCCAAGAGGCTGCATTCCCAAGCCTCTCTCCGTAAATAGTGAATAAAAGCAGATGGTATACTGTCGAAAATGTATAAGTTACTACTTGAGTGGCACACAAAGGATGAAGAAGTAAAAAGTGTTATGAATAGGTGGGCCCAGGATTTGGGGCACAATATTGATTTTGAAAGGTGGGGAAAAATATAGACCAAAGCAATTAAATTCACAGCATGTGTATCACTCAAAGAAAATATATTTAAGATGATGTACTGATGGTATATTACACCTGCCAAACTTGCTAAAATGTATAGAAATCAAGACAAAAATTGTTGAAAGTGTAAGGAGAAGGAGGGGAATTTCCTCCATATGTGGTGAACTTGTTCTAAAGTGAAAGCTTTCTGGGACATAATATACAATGAGTTAAAAAAGGTTTTGAAATATAATTTTAATAAAAAACCAGAGGCATTTTTATTAGGCTTAATTGGTGAGGAAATACATAAAAGTGATGTAAACATGTTTATGTATGCCAAACGGCTGCAAGGACACTTCTGGCTCAGAAATGGAAGCAGCAGGAACTTCCAACACTGGAAGATTGGCAGGTCAAGATGATGGAGTACGTAGAGATGGCCAAGTCGACGGGAAGATCCGGAATCAGCATGACGAACTGTTTCAAAAGGACTGGAACAAATTTATATTTTATATGAAAGAAAATTGTAAACATTTAAAAATGTTTATAGGCTTGAATTGAAATGTTTTGTAATGTAAATATAAGGAACTGATTTACTGATAATAAGGTGAAATATTATAATTTGACAAAGGGTAAATAAGTGCTTATAGAAATGTGAAGAATATGGAAAGTTATGTGGAAGTCAGAAAGAGGGAGGGAAGGAGGTTGATGGTATTACAGAGTAATATATTAAGTCATAGAATTATGTAACAAAATGTGAATATGATTTAAGTGGAAAACTCAATAAAATTATTATTATTTTTTTAAAAAGCAGAGGGTAAGGACTTTTCATTGTCTTCTCCATTCCTAGCAACCTGACGTGGGGGTTGGTTCCTCTGCCGCCTGACACAGTCTTAATGCAATAGCGGTGTGTGTGGCGGGGCCAAACTTTGGAGCCATCCTCTCAACACCAGTGTCACTCCAGCTCACCTGGAAGGAGATAGGACAAAGAAGGGCAGTGGCAAGGTCAGGACTTCATGGCCACACCAGTAGGAAAAAGCAGCTTGACTTTGCTGCTGCACTCACCCAGCCCTGACCTGGCCTCCACCCTGTCTAAGCAAGCTGCAGCAACACCAGTGTCAGGAGAGGGCCTCTTCCCCATCACACCGTGGCTGCTACTTCATTTAAGGCTACAATCCTATGGCTATTTGTAGGAGGAGGAGGGATAAGCGCTGTTGAATCTGGGCAGCCTTCATTCCTATGATTGTTATAGGGGGAGAGGGATAACCATTGTTACCTGTGCTTCAGGTTTAGACTACACCCTTGTGCAAATTAATTGAAACAAACAATGTAGTTTAATGTACAAAACTCACATATACGTACATTAGTAACGGATATGACTTCCACTATTTTTGAGGAGCATTTGAACACGGTTTGGCATAGAGTCTATAGATAACCCTTCCCCAACCTTATATCCCCAAGATGCTTTGGAGCACAACCACTATCAACCCTGACCAATGGTTGTACTTGTCAGGGCCAACAAGGCTTGTAGTCCAAAACCTCTGGACGGTTCCAGGTTGGGGAAAGTTGGTCCAGAAGTTTCTTTAATAAGTATCATTTATTTTGCATGTATAGGCAAACTTTCCACTAATCTTGATATGTCCAGTTAGTTGGGACCCTTGTTTCCCCTCTTTAACATAACTTATCCACATTTATTTGCTCTGCTTGATGTCTCCAGATTTATTTCCACACCATTCCTAAAAGCAAATTCTCAGACGTGACACTAATTTGTTTTTTGTTTTGTTTCACTCCCTCAAATATAGATGGAGACACTATCACACTTACGAGCAAATCTATACGAACAGTGATTGGAAGGGAAATGAGGCAAAGCTATATTTCATATTTTTTAAAAGAAGAAGAAGAATGGATGGATGATTTTGGGGTTGGAGATAAGTTCATCTGAAGGTCAGCCTCAAAACACAACATCTTCTGCCCCTGCTATTACAAGGAGCTTGGCAGATATTGAGAAATAACTTTTTAAGATACAGTACCTGACAAAATATAATTGAAATGAGGAAATGGAAATTTATTTTAGGATGATGAGAATACTCAATTACAACACACATTCCATTCAGCCAGCTCAACAAATTTATTTCCATCATCCATCTTTTTCTTCCACTAAAAAAATAAAGGGAAAGAAAAGACAAGAAAAATGAAACACTGTTTGGCGAGTTGCATATAATGAAAGCGCGTAGGAATTGACAAGTTGGGTTAAACCACCCTGTGCAGAAACTTTTTTATTCATGAATCCTACTTCTTGAGCACTGGCTGATGTGCTGGAGAGACAGGCAGCTCTTACAGTAAAGCAACTGGACTGCAATCTAATTTCGAAAGCGGGAGAGAATTGGTCCCATCATACACACCTATATAATTAAAGGTAGAAGTTATCATAGAAGAACTTCCAGCCCAACACAACATACAGTTTTGGAATGTTGGAGAAACGTGGGGCAGAATGCCTCACAAGAAACTATTACATAGATCACAGGTGGGGAGATCTGTAGATCACTGGCAGAGCATCTGCTTTGCAATCAGAAGGTCACAATTTCAACCCTTGTAATCTCCAGGGAGGGCTGGGCATTCCCTCTGCCAGAAACCCCGAAGAGATGCTTCCAGGCACAGTAGACAATACTGAGCTAGATGGGACAATGGTTTACCTGGTATAAGGAAGCTTTCTATGTTCCTACGAACATGGAATCAATGGGAGTTATCGTTCAACAAAATCTGGAGGACTTTTAAGATGTGCTCTTCCAAGTAAGTTCCAAAGTTCCTCTCTTCCTCCAGTATACAAAAAGACCACACGTTTGGTAAGTGCTATTTTTGTAGAAAAAGAGGTGCCAGAACTCACCATGAACACCTCCCTCCTGGGGGTGGAGCCCCAGTCCCCTCCTCACAGCAATGGAAGTGGCTACATGCTGTAAGTAGCTGCTCCCTTGCACCACTCATCAAGAGGCAAGACGAGGAAGCGATGGCCAGACGGCATGCCTCCTGCAAGTGCCCTGAGGTCACCACCTGTGGCCCGAGAGCCTCAGGTTAGGAGATGCAATCCTTGCCTTGTCCTGGGCACTGGCAACCCACACTATGCTAGTGATAGAGAATGGTGTGTATGAGTGTGTAGAAAATATCCTGTTGCACAATTCATTGTTCTGCCTTCTGCCCACTGCTGACTTGTGGTCCCCAGAAAGCTCTTTAGATGAGTATGTGGGCCCCCAAGCTGAAAATAGTTCCTGATTGCTGGTCTGCACCATTCGTTAGCCTGGCAGATTTCCTTATGTGGATGTTTCTGAACACTAAACATAACCAAGCTGTAGGATGCCCATGTCCTTTGATCTGATCTTGGCCAGTATTTGGGGAGATATCCCACTGCTGTGGCCAACTTCATATAATTTGGTGCTTCCCAACCTTTGGCCAGGACAAGATGGGATAGACTGGCCCTTGGCCGATCCCTTTATCTGCAGCATTTTCTTCTAGACAGAGAGACTTTCAAACAAATGAACCAAAGGCCTGGGGTACAAATAATTCTCTTCTGCTAGGCAGGAACATAAGTGGTTTTGTATTTGGGCTGGGAGTTTTCATGAATATGGATTTTACTGAAGATCTAGCAAAGGCGCCCTTTGATCAAGAGGCTTGTTCATGAATAAAAGCCTAGGTATGGAAAGGGACTTGGGGGTATACTCTCATCTGCTTGCCTGGCTTGCTAAGCAGAAGCTGAACCTAAATTCTTTGGAGCACCTCACTGCAATAAAGCAAGTAGGGCTCTGTTTTTGTTTTTTAGTTTTTTAGAACATGTTGAACTGCTGCAGAATATCAATGATCCCTGTGTGTCACAGTGCAAAGGCAGATGGCTTTGATATAAGAGCAGGCAGGTATGCTCTTTTATTGCCTTGTAGTATACAGAGGCAGGGGAAGGGAGGAATTCAGCCCTCTTTGTGACATCAGTGTCACGGTCCATATGTTCTTTAATGTCAAGACCCTAAGACACCCCAAATGACTTATGTGTCCATTATTAAACTGAGGTACACAATCTGGGAAATATATCTGCCAGAGCATTTGAAAAATTACTGCCAGTTAGCACAGACGTAGTATTGTGACCTATCTTTGGGCACTTCAAACAGTGGCCTTGAGGAAGAAAGTACACATAGAAATCAGGATCAGGAGGATCCTATTTGATAAGCCCATAGTCCACAAATCTGAATGACTCCCATATAGTCCCGGTTCCTGAGTTTCAGATTACTTGAGCAGGGATACCAAATCTTTTTGGTCACCGAACAGCCAGTACAAGATCTTTCACTTCTCTATAAAGCCTTCAGAGAAGTCTCACAATACAGGAGTGCAATGTTCCTTCCAGTAAGGTGTGTGCCATGGAAGATCGTGACTTAATCTGCTCTTGATTTTGTGACAGGAGATTGATTGGCTGTAACCTTTGCTGGAACAACATCTGCTGCCCCTAGGAGCTTTCCAAAGTCCTGATTTTGGTTTTCTGCTTGGAGTCTTCCTGCTCTTAGCAGCTCTCTGCTACTGGATGCCTGTGTCCTGTGACCTGCTGCTAGTTATTCTGTTGCAGGTCTTTTTTTAAAAAAAAAAAAATATATTTATTTTTCCAAAAACTTAAACACTAAAAAAAACCCAACAACAATACAATATAACACATCAAATTAACAAAACAAGACAAAGACAATAAAATAAATCAAACAATTTCATTATCCCATCTTTCATTCACTTATTTCCACGACCTCCTCGCACCTCCCTTTTTGTATTCCACTTCTATTAATTATTTCAGCAATTCCTTTCCACCTTCCTCTGTTTTCTATCCTATAATTGTCTTAACTCATTCTAACCTTATTTTTTCCTTTAATGCTCTATTAACCTATCTGTACTTAATTCCTTATATTATTTCTACTAACGCCATATAACTTCATTTCAACATTTTTCTAACATTCATTAATTTTACAATATTTCTGTAGATAATCTTTAAACTTTTTCCAATCTTCTTCCACCGACTCTTCTCTCTGGTCTCAGATTCTGCCAGTCATTTCCGCCAGTTCTATGTAGTCCATCAACTTCATCTGCCATTCTTCCCGGGTGGGCAAATCTTGTGTCTTCCAGTACTTTGTGATGAGTATTCTTGCTGCTGTTGTTGTGTACATAAAAAGCTCTATCCTTCTTCAACACCAATCGGCCGACCATGCCCAGGAGAAAGGCCTCTGGTTTCTTCAGGAAGGTATATTTAAATACCTTTTTCATTTCATTATAAATCATCTCCCAGAATGTCTTAATCCTTGGGCATGTCCACCAAAGGTGAAAGAATGTGCCTTCAGTCTCATTACATTTCCAACATTTATTTTCAGGCAAATGGTAAATTTTTGCAAGCTTGACTGGTGTCATGTACCACGTATAAATCATTTTCATTAAGTTTTCTCTTAAGGCATTACATGCCGTAAATTTCATACCTGTGGTCCATAACTGTTCCCAGTCAGCCATCATGATGTTGTGTCCAACATCTTGTGCCCATTTAATCGTAGCTGATTTCACCGTTTCATCCTGAGTGTTCCATTTTGTGATGAGATGATGAGCTGCTTGTGCGTAAAATCGTATCCCCTCAGAGTTTGTTCAAGTGCACAAACCTCTGTCTGTGACGGAGCCCCTCAGACATGGCTCCTCTAGTCACTAGCAGATTCCGACAGTGGTTGCTTTCGTAATCGCTTCCAACATAAAAGCTCCTTAACGGAAACACGTCTTCTGGACTCTCTGCGTGACAGTTTCCGGCGAGGAGTGGGTGTTCTTACAGGAGGTCCTGAAACCTCTCCACTGTTTTCGCTGGAAGTGTCTCTGAGCCATCCCTCCAGCTCAGCTCCTCTCCCCCTGCTGGTTCCCTCTTCAGCTGCTGCGTCTCTCCCAACCTGTGTGAGCCCTTTCACCTCCCTGCTGGTTCCCTCTTCAGCTGCTGCGTCTCTCCCAACCTGTGTGAGCCCTTTCACCTCCCTTCCGTCCGATGGCAGTTCCCTGACATCCACCTCCCCTCCAGGGCCCCCTTCACCCCCTCTCGCCCCCTCCTCTACGGGCGGTGAGGAGGCAAAACCCCGGAATGAACTTCCTTCATCTTCCGATGTCTCGAACACTTCTCTCAACCTGTTGCGGTTCCTGGTCTCGAAGTACACCTCCTCCTCAGAGTCCATCTCCCCTTCCCCTTCCGAGTCCGGGAATCCTTCCAACTCCTCCCCTCATCAGTGGTCCCAAAGTATTCCCTCCGGAACCTCTCCACAGGCTGAGGTTTCCTTGGGAACCTTTGATGGAACGTTTCTATCAATACCTCGTCATTGATATCTTCGGCCATTACCCAAGTGTTTTCTGACTCCGGTTCTCCTTCCCACGCTACCAAATACTCCACCTGATCCCCCTTCCACCTGGCGTCGAGGATTTCTGCCACATGGCTGCTGCATTCTCTTTCTTCTATGACCGGTCCCCGAGTGGCCAGCCCTTCTCGTCCCCCTTCGTACGGTGACAGTAACGACCTGTGAAATACTGGGTGCAGTTTCATGTGGTTGGGTAACCGGAGCCTGAAAGCCACTGGGTTGACCTGTTGAATGACCTCAAAGGGACCCAACCTCCTGGGTCTTAATTTCTTACAACCTCCTTTGAACGGCAACCCTTGGGTTGACAGCCACACCCTATCTCCCACCCTTATGGTTTCACCTTCCCTTCGGTTCTTGTCTGCCTGCCTCTTGTATTCTTCCTTCGCCCTTTCTAAGTTGAGTTGGAGCTGACGATGGATTGCTTCCATTTCTTCCACAAAATGCTCGGCTGCCGGGACGCTCCATCTCTCCCCATCTCCCCCTGGGAAAGCCCTGGGATGACACCCATAATTAGCCAAGAAGGGGCTCATCCCTGTGGACACATTCTCGGCATTGTTGTAGGCAAATTCCGCCAGCGCCAACTTTTCTACCCAGTCATTCTCTCTGTCATTGACATAACACCTCAGGTATTGCTGGAGGACACCGTTTGCTCTTTCCGCCTGCCCGTTGGTTTCAGGGTGCCGGGCAGTCGAAAATTGACCTCCACCTGCAGTAAGCTCATGAGCTTCCTCCAGAACCTGGAAGTAAATTGTTTTCCTCGGTCTGAGACCACCCTCAATGGCACCCCGTGCAACCTAAAAATGTGTTCTACAAATAACTTCGCTGTCTCTTCTGCCGTGACTGCATGCGAGCAAGCTACAAAGTGGCACATCTTTGTTAGTAGGTCTACCACCACCATGATGGCTGTTTTCCCTTTGGATTTCGGCAGATCAGTCATAAAATCTATCGACACTGCCTCCCAAGGTCGTTCTGGGGTTGGTAAGGGTTCTAATAGCCCCGCCGGCGCCCGCCTTTCCCCTTTGGCTCGCTGGCATTGCTCGCACCCTCTTACATACTCACGTACATCTTCCCTCACCTTAGGCCACCAAAATTCCCTGGTGACCAACCACATGGTTTTGTGTTGTCCAAAATGCCCCGCCGTAGGGCTGTCGTGCAACTGCTTGAGTACCCTCCCCTTTAACTCTCCTTCAGGGATATACAGTGCCCCTTTGTA